GATTTGACCAGACTTCACCACACATGGCGTGTGGGGGAGAGGGGTGATGACTCACGTTAAAGCCACCGGATTAATGTCAACAGAGTCTTTCCAGAAACGTGGCGGTCAGGTCAAGCACGGAGCTCGCATTGACCTGCAGGCACACGCATGCAGCCGCAGCACTTTTGTCGAATGCTTTGCGCCTGGCGCGCAAGCGAAAGACGTCGGACCGGAGGAATCGCCAATTTCATCCAATTTCAACGGAACCCAGAAATGACACCATGGTGGACCAGAAAAGCATGGAGACACAGCATGGAAAACAGTATGGTTCAAGGCCATATGGGCTATTGGGGTGCTTTTGAGGTCCCAATGAGGTGAAGTCCTTTCTGGGTTCGTGTTTACATGAGCCATGTACATTGGTGGAAGGATGAACACGTGGAGCGACCGATCGCTGATCTGATCAGCGACCTGACAAGCTACGTGACGCAAGGAAGGCAGGCAACTGGGATCCTGCGTCACGGTGTTTTCTTTGAGTCAGCGACCTGCATGTGTCCAGCGACCTGACAAGAAACGCCATGTGCCTTCGATCTCTCCCTCCAGCCGACTGTTCGATCTCTCAAAGTGACCCTGACATGTGCCCCTGAAAAGCGGGTACGTGGTACTCTTTCTCTGAGGTACGAAGACTCCAGCTTAGGACATGGCCCCATTAAACACACACACACACACTTATAGACAAAGGGTTTGCAGTTACATCAATTCCCCGAGGAAAAGAGTGAAGGAACGGAAAGGTGGCACAGTCCGCGATGAACAGAATGTTTGAACATTGGCTGTTTCACTTGACTGCGAAGCGCAAAAACCGTCAAGGCGGCTGCACATCAGCGGTGGGAAAAGGAGGTTTAGGGGTCTATCGTGCAAGAACCATGAATCAAAGAAATGGAAGAGTAAAGTCACAGCTTGTGCAAAAGTTCCGTCAGCGCAGGTACGATAGGATGGCCAATCCTGGTATCCCGTGTTCAGACTAGCTTCGTTGGGCGTAGTCATCTGAACACGCTACGCCCCCCTGCTTGCAAGACGAAAAGAGCAAAACTCTTAGAAACAGAGTGTGACACACTTACACACACATCCCGTGTACCTGGAACACACAATGGTTTGATTTCAGGTACAGCTTGGACACATGCAGAACGCTGTTCGCCGCCAAAGTGTGCCGGTCAGAGAAAATCGAAAACACAGCGTGGCCGGCCAACAAACTGGCCGCTGCTGGATTCGGTGCGAAGGGGGACTCGTTTGGATGTCATCGCTTTTTCTTGACCAATCTTGCTTCTGAGTTTTAGTTTTGCACATCCGGGCTGTCAGAACCTACAGTGTCCCTAGATTGATGCCATGAATCGAAATAATATTGGTTGGGGGTCGGGTGAAGCAATTGTCCCTGCTTTGATGCAAGGGAAATCATGACTTGAGCCCGCTATTGGTTTCGGGTGAACTCTTTGTTTTGGGGAGTGTGCCATGCTTTTGGAAGGTGACGGTGCTTGCATATATGGGCAGGTCAGGACAGAACGTCTCGATTGCTTCTAAAATCCGAAACACCCAGAAATAAGGGTTTAGGATGTTTATGGTATTATGGGCTAATGTTCGTATACGGCCATAGGACAATACAGCAGTTCTGTGTTTTGTTTGAGGGAAAGGAAGGGCCCAGAAGTGATTTCAGAACATTGTTTATTTTTGTGGGTGTGTACATCAAGAACGGACCATTTTTCAAGCTGTTGGTTTGGGGGTCTCTCTATATTAAATAGACAACAACATGTTTAACATGTTCTACTAAGACAACGATATGTCACGTTCTTAGTTGGGCTGCACTTTTCCCTTGGAAACAACACTCCTGCTCGCACAGAATCTAGCCTACGAGGCCGTTCCAGCATATCGTGTTTGGCTGGTGGCCGGACGCTTGTGGTTTTCATAGTACTTCGACGTAGTCGGAGCATGAGCTTTAGATTTTGACACATTATATATACGTATACAGTGATGTACAGTGTAGCCTCTTGGCTAGTTCTGCTGATGGCAATGGTGAGCAGAAGGGGCCATGATGAGGCCAGCGTTGGTGGCCATATCTTCAAATCCGTTTTCGGAAAGACACCATCCCACAGCTCTCCAAATGAGTTCTGCCCTTTTGGACATTGCCGGTCGCCAGTTCGCCAAGAATATAAATGGTCGGAAAGTGGAGGGTGTCGTTGCTCGCTCCTGAATACTTTAAAGGTTTAATCTTGCTTATAGGAAAGATAGACTCTGATCTTAAAATAAAGATCTTGTTTCAATTGGAGATGAGAACAGTCTCCCAGACACTCCGGACTGCCAGACTTGATCCCTCCCGCCTGCAAACGCTGGCGGCGTCAATTGCCAGGGTCAATGGTAAATATTCACCGCTAGAGCCGCTAGGGCCCTAGGGATTTCGTACCGAACCTCAGGTTAGGTGATTGGAGAATGGAGACATGTACTTATGCGCATGTAGGTGCCTGGAGGGTCCAGTCGCACCGAACCAGAGGTTCGGTACGACAGGATCCCTAAGGTACGTGGAGTGTTTGGGTTGAACCTGTTTGGGTTCCACCACGGACCAACATGGACGTCAGAGGGTTCTTCGTTCCGACGCTCCGGACGGGAGGCTCATGTCGCACGCGTGGTCGACGTGTCGACGGGACGGAGTGGTTGACTCTGACCACTGAAGAGCCGAATCGAGTAGCGTCGGCCGATTGAACATAGGTTGATGAATAGAGGGGATACTGCACCCTCAAGTGTACCACCGTATTTATATATAAAAACTATTTATAGATCGACTTATAGAGCACCTATCAAAACCTGTCCTTACGTAGCTTAAAGGAAGTTGGACATCATTTTTGAATATGCTAGTCTTGGTAGTACTAAGGATAATATTACCAAACCGACCCCCTCTATGATTCTCCAAGTATGGACATCAGGACTCCGACTACAACCAAGTCAACCTCTCGGGCCACACTTCAAATGGGACTGGAAGATATGCTGACCAAATCCACCACCCCTGGCCTGGTCAAGTCATACCTGGGTACCATTGGGAACCAAGTCCCAACTCAGAAACAGTTCGTTCCAAGTTCTGGCGCCAGCTTGAGATCCTTTACAACATGGCTGGGACTGGGGAGTTCCATCCATGTCTTTTTCTGGCCTCCAGTCGTACCTTCTGAGGAGGTACTTGGAGGTGTAGGGAATACCTTCTTTCCTTATCCCTACACCTCCAGTCGTCGTACCTCCTCAGGTTCGGTATGACCGGACCTCCCACCCATCCCAGTCCCATCTTCTCAAGGCCTGTAGGGTATCTCTTGTGTCCACTCTGTGATTTCTTCGCAACGGCACCTCGGACACACCGACGCGAAGCCTGAACACGCGACACGTATACGCTTCCCTGGGTGGATTCCGCGGATCTCGATGGACAGTTCGAAGTGACCAATTCGAAGCTCTGTGAAGCCTATCCTCAGTTCCAGGTCGAAAACTGACCTCATTTGACAACGTCAGTTTGATACTACTCACTGGATCGGAGAACCGAAGACACCCCGGAGTCTGAGTCCCAGTCCTCGGTCGTTGAGAGCGTTGAGAAGTCGCACCCCAGGAAGGAAACAAACAGGGTCACGTCACGATCAACCAGGTGCAAGTGGATCTTTGTGGGGGATCCAGGTGCCCTGGGTAGTTTGGTTCTCTTTGTGGTTCTTTGATGTTCTTTTTGGAATTTTGGCCAATATTGTGTCACGGTTTAATGTAGACTCTTGATTAACAACCCCAGCCATTTGAATTGAACATCCTCTTCATCTGGAGGGTGTATTAATCAAGAGTCTGATATAGTGTTAAATCTTGATGGATGTATTGAAGATACACCTACCAGGGTTTCCCCAATTTGTGGGGTGCCAATTCGTGCGTTGTTGAAAAACAGGGCTAGACTCTGTCGTTTTGAACCACCCCAAACAGGATCCAACCAACACCCTGGGACCCAGGGTCTCCTGGTAGTTCTCCTCGTCGTTGGGAACGGTCCGCAGGGATCCACCCGTTTTCACCAGCCGCGGTCGGTCCATGTCCGACCGCGCCCGGTGGAAGACCACGTGCCGCACCCGCCCGCCCGAGACCATGCCGCCGGGTGAAAGAAGGGACGGTCCGCAGGGTCCGACGTTGTCGGACGCAGACTGGGTGGTGGCAGACTGAGATTCTCGTGTTCAATCATTGAAACAGTTGGGAACACAATAGGACCTGCATGCTGAATCTTTTTTCAAGTGAGTTGACATATGTTGAAACCACCAACCAGTAGAGGAAGACGTGACTGACACGTGACTGGTGTTTCATCTATAACTTGTAAGGGATTCTAACCAATTGAATGGCTCTCAGCAAACAACCCTTGTTTACTAAGGATTTCAGTCGTTTTTTCACACACCAGGTAAAGCCTTCTGAAATGCGAGTCTGAAATGGAGCCAGTTGGCAGCAATAGGAGAACACATCTGCATGCTTCCAAAGCGGACATGAGCTTTTGGGGGTTTTTAGGGAGGAAGATCGGTCTGAATTGATGGTTTTGGAAGTACGCCAGTCCGCTTCGTGGGGCGAAACACCTGGCATGTGCAAACATCGCGGAGGTTGAAAGGGGGTCTTTCTGGGGCGACATGTTTTTTTCCATGTTTTTCATGAAGTTTCTGTGGGGACCCTTAGAAGGCATGTCTTGATCTTCCATGTTAGTTCCAGGCAGAGTATAGTTCATGCTCTTCATATGGAGGGTTTATGGTCCTCAAGAGTCTACATTACTTGGAGCCCTAGGATGCAGGGATTCAGATTCCTGGCGCTTACGACGTGGCGCTCACCGTGGCGCTTGCACCACGTCGTGGCGCTCTGCCCTGACCACAACACCTTCTCTGCAGCCCGAACCACCAACCGAACGTCCCGAACGGGTTAGGCCCCCAGGTTAGGCATCGCGAGACGTGGACATCTCCCAACTCCTGGGGTCCTGGTCCTGGTCCGACCGCCAGGCCATCCAAAAGCGCTGAGGAACGCGGCGGAGACACGGCGAGAAAAACAGGCGAAACGGGCCGAAGAGACACCGAGCGCCGCGTTTGCGCCGAAAAGGACCGCGCTGTAGAGCTGAGAGCTGTTCTTGGTACAGCCTTCTGGGTGGGAAGAGAGGTCCGAAAGAGAGGGGCGGGCGGAAAAGGGTTGGAGTTGAGAACTTCAGGGACCTCATACGTGGGAAGACAGAATCCATGAGGAGGTGGTGAAGAACTCCTCTATATACTGGTATGATCTGGTATCAGTTGGTGTAAATGCCTGGTTCATGATCAATTCACATGGATTCTGGCAATGTGGGAAATAATACGTGTGTTACACCATTCGGGATGAGTGAAAAATGATGGTGGCAAAGTAAGTTGTTTGGTGGAACCCATGTGGTTGTGGTGGAACCCAATAGGTCACAATCAACATGTTGTTCTGAGAAGGTGTAACTTTTCCGTGTGTGCGCGTGGCCCGAAACATGTGTCGGTGTTTGGGGCTTGCCCAGGATTTGCATTGTGCTTTCTGCAGATCGAGTTCATGCAATTTTATGAAAGAGGGCTTAGAGACCTGACTCGATGGAGGAAACAGACTGGCAGAGTCCCACTACGACTGAATTCAAACTATTATGTTTGTTTGAACTATTTGTTTGTCCATGCAGTGGTGGGGTATTACGAATATCCCTTGTTGAGGTCCATTCAAACTATGACAATCAAACTGGAATGATCATACTCATGGTGCAGACGCTCCATGTATGGAATTTTCCTATATATACATCTGCAGGGTGGTTGACAAGGGGTCAATGTAGGCAGATCCTTGGTCCTTCCGACAGTTTGGAAGGTCAGAATTGCACTGATGATGAACACCGAAGCTGCTGCACACTACTTGGCTCCAGTGATTTGGCTCGCTGGGAACCTCGTCCACATCGGGATAGTTTGCCGGGCGCGAGGGCTGTACCGCCAGTGGCGGTGCTGTGCAGCGCTGTGCAGCGCCTTCCGCAGCACAGCGCTGTTTTTTTCGCCGAGGAACGGCAAAGCCCGAGAAAGTCATGGCGAGCCTTTGGGGTCTGTTGAAGCGCAGCCAAGAGGACGACGAAGAGCCCCAGGCCAGCTATCGGTCTGTGTGATGTCAACCATCGGCCTTCCACCTGGAACATGTTTTTCATGCTTTTTGCAATTCCCAAAGACACTAGACTCTAGACACTTGATGTATGACACAATTAAACATAAAACAGGTCAGCATGGCAAAGGTCTATACTAAACATGTTATTATATAATGGTTGTTTAATATTGGTTTATCGACCGTATTCGACCGTAAAACACCTAAATTGAAAACCTATGGGCTGGTGTCACCAAGTGCACTCCAGAGATTTCAAGTGGCACCAAGAACTTCAAGAACTTGAGTGTCAGCATTTGCGTCGTTTTATGTTGATTGTTTGCGTTGTGGTTTTGGTTTTCGTTGCAGGTGGTTCACAGAGCGGCGTTGTGTTTCTAGTCGTGTGCGTCAGGTTGTTCAATGTTGCGGCTGTGTTTTCAAGTGGAAATGAGCGTCGTGTTTGGCTCACTTCTGCCAGGTTTCCTCACTGAAAGCATTCCGAATGATCTTCTTGAGCGTTTTAGCCAAACCAGACCCGTTCAGGTGTGCCAATCAGTGGTAAGGGGTGTCTATTGACCACCCCAAATTTGGATCCAAACAACACCCCGGGACCCAGGGTCTCCTGGCACACCATCGAACACCGGCGTCTTCGAACGCTATCCGTGATCGGATCGTAGGGCCTCCAAAGCGGTCAAGGCTCGGTACCTGTAGAGTTTGGTGCCCAGATATCCCTTCTCGGGCTCTAGTCCCACATCCGATAGTGAGTTGAGCCCAAACAAGTAACAGTCAGTCAGTAAAGGCTCAGTAAAGGATGTAAAGGATTATCCTTTTTTGAGCAAGGCCCTTTACTAACAGGCATTTGCAAAACGCCTTTGATATGCCATCAGTTTGTGATCAAACTCTTGGAACATGCCATCAATCACTTGCGGCTCACTTGAACACTTCACTGGTTCCAATGTATCCCTAGTGTGTGTCAATACATCCCTAGTCCTGACCCCACAGTTTCGTACCTGAACCACCCAGGATGTGGGACAGGTGCCCTAATTCGTATTGGGGTTTGTCCATTACGTGGAGATAGGGTCATTTCATTTCATTTCACGCACGGCAAGTGCAGTCAAGCGCGCCGCCTGGCATCTAAATTCTGAATTAATCTGTGCGCGCGAAATCAGGCCCGTGAGTCTCGTGCTCAAACGTGGTCACTGAAAGCGATCGTAGCCACCTGAGATCATCGGGAGCATCTTCTAGTTCTTCGACTAGGCGCTTCGACCGATGAAAAAACAGTTGGGCAATCATAGTGCACAGTTGCGGTGTGTACTCTTTCAACTTAGCTGTCTTGAAAGAATCACCGTCTCGTCCGATGGAAGCAACCATCGGTCGCGTGGACGTTCTACAGGAAAACTCTATCTTGCGGGCCACCTCAGACGTCAATCCGCTCAGTAGGAACCGGGTAGGCTTAGGACTCGTCTGATGGAAGAATCCTTGTTCGAGTTGCAGTTCAACAAACAACCCCGTCTGGCGAAGCCACCCTAATAAAGCAGTGTTCCAAATGCTTGGTGACCTCGTTTTGCTGGGATCGAAAGAGCGAGGGTCATCTGGGTGTTCGAGGAGGGAAAACTTCCCTTGCGCCGCCTGTACGAGACAAACTTTCAGCGCGAACAACATAAGCCTATTGCCAACGTCTATTTGCTGAAATTCTCGAGGCACAAGGTCAAGCAGCCCCCACGGAGCCTCTGCTGTTCGCAGAGGCCTTGGCCCTTTCTTTGGCGACATGCCATCTGCTTCTCTCGCAACTGACCATGTCTCACATGGTGGCCCTGCCAACATGCCTTCTGCCAGTCCGTCGCGTGCTAGTCGAAGCCACAACTGCTGCGTGTCCTCTTGTAGCAGATTGCAGTACTTGCTGGAGACCATTACATCTACTGATAGTACCCACAGGGTAGTACCGGCTTCCGGCTCCAGCAATTCTAATGCGTCTTGCAAGTCGCCTGGTCTTCTCCTTCCACTAAAGAGGTGAAAGAAGTATCTGTCCCTGAATGCTTTTCTCGGTTGGTGTATGGGAAGTTGGCTGCACGTGACATCTCTTCGATCTTGTTCACTCTCAATGTTCTTTTCGAGCCCAGCTAGCACCCACCCTTCTATGGCAGCGAACTCTCCCGTGATCCTTGAGCCGACCTTTAGGAGAGCCGGATCCGCATTAGGACCGAGATCTTGCAGCCATTGCCCGAAGACCTTGGCAATATCCGGGAACGGCATTGGTCTATTGCAGGTGTCTCGTATCCTGTGGTACAAGTCAGCTTCGAAGGATGGATGGTCGACCGAAACTACGAAGCGCCGAAGCTCGGCGTCCAGGTCGTGCTTCAAGCCCTCATCATCACGGTTGGTGTCATCATCATGACATACTGGAATCTGTTCTCGGTATGTCCATGGCATGAGACTATGAGCCTGTGTCTGACTGGTGATAGGTGGGCCACGAGCTTTCCAGGCAAAGTTGCGGCATACAGCACTGTACTGTAAATGATGCTTCAGTTTCTCTCGGCAAAAATATTCTTTTGCACAAACAGGGCATGAAGTGCCTTGGGCAGCTTGTCCAGCCATTGAGAGATACGAATGCTTGTGGTGTGCATGCAAAAACCACGCACGCTTATTTTGGAAGGCTCGCTCGCATATGAGACAGTAGTGTCGGGTCACCGTCTCCTGTCCCTTTACTATCGACCCTAGCTCAACTAACATCTTAATGATTTCACTATGAGCCTGTTTGACCCTTGCCTCATTGATGCGAAAGGTTCTATATCTGGCAGCGATGCGCCGCACTAGCCGTTTCCAGGTGTGCGGAGTGCTGCTGGCGATTTGTTCCCACATCGGCCAAGAGTATAGCTGGGGTACGTCAGCGTCCCTACCTAATGCCAGCCAAAACCAATTCATGGATGCCTCATAGGCATGTCTGGCTCTGTCATCTTGTCGCATGAGTGCCCACACCGCAGTTGGGGCGTGTGCTACCATAGCCCCCAGGTGCCGAACTCGTGCTGTGTGAAGGCGGTCATTTGGCGTGGCCAATTCTAAGGACACTAGGACTTCGGCATTGGAAACATGTCGGGAATGCATTTCATTTGCCAATGGACTAATCTTGCGATACAAATTATGACAGGCATTCTGCCACATCTTCCACTCGGAGGCCTGTAACAGAGGCCAGGCTCCGCTTCCCCAAGTGAAGATGGACATCACAGTAGCCTCGAAAATTTGGATTCGCAATTTGAGGGGATACCCCTGTACTTTCAGGACCTTGCGTGCAATTCTGGCAAAAGCCGCATTTGCCTTGCCTATGCGTGCTGAGATCTCAAGCTTCATGCTAGCTTTGGCAGAAACAATACCTCCGAGATGCCTATATTGTGTGACTATCGGAAGAAACACAGTTTCTGCTTCAAGCAAAACTGGAATTTGCGGATTCTTCGTAGCATAAATCCGTCTTCTCGCAGTAACAGCGTGAGGGCCTCGTACGAAAAGCAAGACAGCTGTTTTTGCTGTACCGATGGACGCCTTCATTCCAAATCTGGCTAGTTGTGTCAGCAGAGCCTGTGCAGCAAGGCCCGTTTGCTGTATCACTCTCTCCGGGGATTGTAATGGCAGAAGGAGGGCAAGATCATCCGCCCATGTTGCGTGACATGAGGTTTCCTTATCCTGATTTTGTTCTTCCTTTAATGGCAGAAGTACACGTTCCGCGTCAGCGGAAGTCATCAAGGCTAATCCGAGTTTCTGTAGCTCCTTCTGGGTCTCCTTAATAACTTCTGCGAAAAGAACATTGAAGGTAATATCTGCCCATGAGTCACCCGGTCTGGTGCCTACTAGTGTATGAATGAGCGGTCCTCTTTCAGTCCAAAACCAAGTGCCTGACAAGCTCTCCTGCAACAAAGATCGCTCAGCATGTGTGCCTCCAAGTGTTTCACGCGAGGACTTGCCTGTCAATGCCTCATGCAATTTGTGCATTACCTCACTGGGCAGTCCTAACCTGGAAACAACAGTAGCGATATGTTCATCTGTCATGTCCGCTCCTGTGGCCAGCTGACGCAGGACACGATAGAAAGCAGAGGCTATATCGCAGAACAGCACGGCACAGCAGTTTCCTCTGTCACGGTTCATCGATATGAAGTGCCGGACAACTTGAGCCCCGAAAATCACACTTTGGGCTGGCTTGCCCCCGAAATGTGTTTCAGTGCTATTGTCAACAAAAGCTCGGTTGACCTTGGAGCGCATTCCTGCCCGTACAGCTTTGCCAATGGTGCTCATGAGAAGAATTCCTCTGAAGCTCGAGCATTCCTGGACTGGCCCCTTGCCTTTGTATAGCTTGACTAATTGTCCCCCTTTCCATTGAACCGGCTCATGGAGCCACACAGCAAATTTAGTCATGAGCGGGAACAGGACTCTCGCCAGCTCTCGAGGAAACATATGGAGGATGTCTCCAGGCACTCCGTCAGGTCCCATGGCCTTATGTGAGTGAACTCGTCGGAGTGCATTCTCAAGCTGGTATAGTGTGGGCATCTCACTGAGTGCCTCCCACCTAGGTTGCTGACTTTGTTGCTGTCGCTGCAGTTCATTCCTAACAAAATCTGCTGGGTCTACTTCATGCCCGCCTTCGAGCTGTGCGAAATGCTCTGTCCATCTTTGCTGGTATTCAGAGAAACTAGTCGTGGCACCGCCATCCAGCTTATTAACTTGCGGCAGTGGCATTCCAACTCCATGTCGGCGACTTGTGCCAATGAGCGGGCGAAGCATGCGGAACACATCTCCGGGTTTGGATTCTTTGACTCTATCACAGACGCCGGCCAAGTAGGACTTTCGATCAGCTTGTAGCTGTTTCCTTAACTTCCATGCGGTATCGTTCAATTGGGACCGGATCATTGCCTGCTTAACATGGAAGGTTTTGGCCCATGCGTCCGTGACTCCTATGTAATTTCGGTTTCTCCATTTGTCGAAACATTCCCTTATCAATGCAAGCCTAGCCATCAACTTGTATGG